GCCCTAAACCCTGTGAGTGTCCGCAGCGCCCTGGCAGCCTCAGCCCGCACCAGAGACCCTTTCGTTGTTATAAATAATTCTAGAAAGAAACCCCCCATAATTGTACCTCCTTTTGATAAATACCTAGAATTAAACTGAATAAAAAGAATGCATATTTTAAGGCTTTGGATTCAGATTTTCAAAATGCCCTGTAGAAAGTATACGTTGACTAAAACTCCCATCAACGAAGTATGAAAGTGACCATTTTTCTGTATCTTCTCCAACAATGTTTTTTATAATTGTTTTTTTTTTTTTTTTGCTTGCTTGAAAACCTGAAAGGTAAAAAATGGTACGTTGCTTCAATGTGCTTTTCTTTCATTCCTCAAAATGTTAGATATTCTTTCTTGGTTTATTGGCTATTTGCCTATTTGTGTGTTGGTAGGGCCTCTTTTTACTGTTTTATAACTGATCTTTGTATATGAAGGTGATGGAACTACAAAGTAAACATCTGGATTCCAGAACAGATTTGGGGACTGATTTTCCCTCTTCTACCCCCTCTAACGCTTTCCACGGAGTGAAGAGAGGAATAATTTTCACTCATTCTGGGAAGGCTTTTTATACGACAAATCTTAAGAAGGTGGAAAACAAAAGATCCTGAGAATACAAGTGTTTTTATTTTAGAGGATCTTCCTCTCCAATCCACCGTTCCCCACTTCAAACTGTAGAAATGTTGCTGTGTTCTTTGTAGCCAGAAAAACTGAGTCACACCTCATATGATCTTTCCAGCTTGCTTTACTCTCCGGGCCAAGTGGGTCCCCACCCAGGAAACCTCCCCACTCATCAGCTGTGCTTATGCAGATAAGACCCCGCTTGTCGTCTCGCCAAGCCCTGACGCACCAGACCTCTGCCCCTGACCAGCTGTGTGTCCTTGCATGAGTCCCCTAACCTCTCTGTGTCTCAATTCCCTCTGAAATGGGGAAAGCATCACCTCTCAAGGGTTTTTGTGAAGATTAGATAAAGTAATCCATATAAGGCACGGGGCGGGAGGTGTCCTTGTTTAGCTTTTCTCTTTCTTTCAGCTGAAAACTCACTCAACTTTTCAGAACAACAATAAACCAGGCCCCTTTACCTTAACCCACACGGGTTAGGAGCCTTTGGTGACAAGCAAGAGAAATTAACTGGAGCTTAATAGAAAAGAAGGAAGTGGGGAGAATTTATTACAAAGACTCAGTGGTGTCTCAAAGATTCCAAGAGCTTGAAATGGGGATCTTTTTCCCTGTTTCTCCCTGAAGCTCTGCTCTGATTCCCTCTCCCTGTCTCCCTATCTCCCTCTAGACTGGCTTTCTCCACCACTGTGGCCACCACCAACTACTTCTCCCCATTACTGTCTCTACCACATGCAGAGACTCACTAACTGACCCTAAATCCCCAAACCAGGACCTGGTTAGGGAGACTTTGATTGGCCCAGATTTGGCCACGTCCAATCAGATGCTGTCCCTTAAGAAATACACAGTAAGTAACAGCCAGAGAGAGGGCCAATGAGTTCACCCAAACCCCTCTTTATAGCAGAGCCAGCTGAGAAGCTTGAGTTTTCAGAGGGATTAGGGGAGACGTGACCAGAAATGGAATCCAGAGCTCCCAGAACCGACCCCAGAAGGTCAGACCTTAAAAGACCTTCACGCGTTACCTCGTTTAACCTCTGCCCACATTTTATAGAGAAGGAATGAGGTCCAGAGGTATGTGTTTTTCTGAGGAAGTCTGGCCAAGGTGACAGAGCTGGAACCAGAGCTCCTGGCACCATGGCCCAATCACATGTGGCTGTTGTAGTTGAGGAACTGAACTTTAGATTTTACTTAAGTTTAATCTAAATTTACGTCACCACATGTGGGGAGTGACTACCATATTGGACAGGATAGTCCTCCAGCTTGAAGACTTCTGGTCGCTCAGGAAAGGAGTAGACATCAAATCCCCAGTAGCTAAAGAATCAAAAGATAAAAACAGAATTCATGGCAAGAAGATATATGGAGAAAACTATGACTTTGTAAAAGTATTTAGTAATTATGGAAATGTAAAACAAAATTGCTTTAAGCTCTCTCCGTTTTGCCTATCAAACAGGTTAAAATAATTAACAGCTGTAAATCATACCATTTAATCTCCCAACAACCTTGTGAAATAATAATTTTGAGTGTTCTCAGAATGGCTGGGCCAATCATGCCTCCATCCTTTAAGACCTGTGTGTTCTTGGACAAAGAACTTTGCCCTCATTTCTTTATCTGTTATTAATATTACTACCTACCTCAGAGGGTGTTTTCTAGGGGCAAATGGAAAACTGCATGTAAACAGCTCAGCACAGTACCTGGCATGTGATAGGTGCTCAGTATATGTGAGCAGAGATTATTATCTCCATTTTGCATGAGGCTCAGAGAGGGCAACCAACTTGCTCCAAATTGCCCACCTGTTAAGTGTTGAGGCCAGGATTCACACTCAGGTGTCTCTGGCTCCAAAGCCTTCTTCTGGGCGGTCTCTTTTGTTTTTTTAAGATTTTATTTATTTATTTGACAGAGAGAGACACAATGAGAGAGGGAACACAAGCAGGGGGAGTGGGAGAGGGAGAAGCAGGCTTCCCGCGGAGCAGGGAGCCCGATGCGGGGCTCGATCCCAGGAGCCTGGGATCATGACCCGAGCAGAAGGCAGACGCCTAACGACTGAGCCACTCAGGCGCCCCTGGGCTGTCTCTTTACATGGCTCAGGATCCCTTAGCACTCTCCCTCTGCCCCCACTCACCCCTTCCTTATACCCCTGCCTTTAAAACCCTGGTGACTCTGTGGGGGTCTCTAGACTCTGGTTGTCCCTCAGACCTGGCTCCTGAGTGCCCTTCCGTGCATTGGACTATACACACTTGTGGGGCTTCTGCAGACTGGCTGGTGTGGGGAGGAAGCTCCCCTCTGTCCTGCAAGAAGAGAGAGAGCAAGCCAGGCCCAGTGAGAATGAAGAGGAGGTGGAGGAAGGGGGAGCAAGCCATGAAGTGGCAGAGCTGACTCACCTGGTCTTTGGATCCCAAAACCAGTTTCCTTCCCAATGCTCCACAGATACACAGAAGCAGGCGCTGAACGTCCGGGGATGGGTGATAAGGGACTGGTCCTGCCCAACCAGCAGAGGGTGAGGCAGGAGAGGAAAACAGTTGGCGGGGGGGGGGGGGGGGGGGGGGAGCTCTCCAACACCTCACACCTGAGGATGCTCTGATCTCTCCCCTAGCCAGAGGATGGTTCCCAATGCACGGAAGGGCACTCAGAAGCCGGGTCTGAGGGACAACCAGGGTCTAGAGACCCCACAGAGTCACCAGGGTTCTAAAGGCAGGGGTATAAGGAAGGGGTTAGTGGGGGCAGAGGGAGAGTGCTAAGGGAGTGCTTCTGTATCGGAAGAGGAAGGGCCAGAGTTGGTAAGTGCGATCAGCACAGTTCTGTGATAATAGCCCTCCAGCTGTCCCCAGCTGCCAACTAACTGCCCAGGTTCTAAGAACATGTTAACCTGTGGTTTGTGGTTAGAGCGCCCCCGTGTGTTTCCACTTTGTCATAAGTTCTTTAAAGGACCAATTATCAGTACCATCAAGATTTATGAGGGAGGGGGCTTATCTCCTTGAATCACCACAACACCAAGAAGTTGGTGGCCACCCCAGGCCCGGAGGGGCTCAAGGACCACTGAGTGAGAGCGGCATAGCCAGGACTCCGATCTGATTAGGTCAGCCTTCTCAGAAGCCTATTCTTTCCGCCACCTTTCCCTGCATCTAACTGGTCTCCAGGCACAGAGCCTGGTCCTCAGGAACTGATGTGCAGATGCTTCCAGAACCTCTGGAGGCTGCCAGCAGTGTACTAGCCTCAGACTACAGTCCAGTAGCTTGTCCTCAATTCTGGGGCCAGCCCTTCCGTGTGGGAGACTGCCCCCCCTTCCCCACGCTCATCTTCTTCCCAGGTCCTACCCTAAACATTCATTCAGCAAGCCAGAGCTGGAGGCTGGGACCCCAGAAATGAGCAGGGTCGGACTCACATCCCTTCCTTCGAGCGTGAGTTCACTGGGAGGCAGTGCTGGGCTCTGGTGGAGACTCTGGGGTCAGACAGCTTGAGTCCCACTACTTTCTCCCCAGCGGTCCAGCTCCTGAGCCTCAGTCCCCTCAGCGCTCAGGTAGTTAGCAGTGGCATAAAGGTGATGGTGTGTACAGGAGTCAAGCCCTGAAGGCGGCAGCAGTCATTCTGCTTCATTCACCAACCTCAGGGTTTGCCACGGGTCAGGCTGATGCAGGCGGCTAGAGACAGGGATAAATCCATGTGGTTTGTGAGGCCCAGAAAGGACCAGGAGGCACTTACGTGAAACACCAGAGCTCCCACCCCCTTGCTCCTTCTCTCCTCACCCTTTCCTGTACACCCTCCTCCCACAAACACACAGGCCTGAATACCCAGGGACAGCAAGTCCGGGGACCACCTCCCACCCCAGGCCCATCTTTGACCCTTGGGCCACCTCCTAGTGCCCAGCCTGGTACTAGGGGTGGTGGGAAGGGGGTATCAGTCAGCATCTCAAAGCCCAGAGGAGCCTCCTTTTGGTGGGCAGCAGGCTCATCTTCCTCCCAACCTGGAGAGGGAGAGCCCACCCCCGGTGAGATGGGTACTGTGTTTTTCCCATACATCCCAGGACCAGCGGGCCAATAAGAACAAGGGATTTGAGGGGCGGGCTGGAGAAGGTGTTTGTAAAAGGGGGTGGGGCCCAGTGCCTGGTTGGTCTGTTCTAGGTGTGAGGAGGTTCAGAGGGGCTTCTCCTGGCTCTGGAGGTAGGCACATCCTCTGGCTCGGGGAGAGATCAGAGCATCCTCAGGTGTGAGGTGTTGGAGAGCCCTGCCCCCTCCTGGCCAACTGTTTTCCTCTCCTGCCTCACCCTCTGCTGGTTGGGCTGGACCAGTCCCAAGGAAGAGGGGTTTGGGACAGCAGATGGCCAATTTATGCCCTGAGCATACCTGTCCTCTCTCTGAGCAGCTCCCAGCATGGGCAAAGAGAAGACCCACATCAACATTGTGGTCATCGGCCATGTGGATTCGGGCAAGTCCACCACGACAGGGCATCTCATCTACAAATGTGGCGGCATTGACAAGAGGACCATCGACAGGTTTGAGAAGGAGGCCTCAGAGGTGAGGCTGCTCTATCTGAGGCTCCCTGCCCCCCTCCTTCCTAGCCGTGGTTTCCCGGGGAGGGATACCTCATTGCCGGGGAGGAGACTGCTCCCTCCCGCTGAGCACCTGCTGGGCTGGTAGGTGCTTTCCCTCTCAATCATGTCAGGCAGGTGGTGGCTGTCATTTTCCAGGTGAGACAAATGAGGCTCAGAAGGGTTAAACAGCTTGCCTGAGGATGGGGGCCAACGTTTAAATCCCAGTGGGGCACAGATGCCATGCCGTATCTCAGGAGCTAAAGCTGCCATTTAGAAGAGGGGAAAGGATTTGTCACGCATCTACCAGGGACCTTAAGGTAGTCCCGTGGATACCATGGTAGGTTCAAGCAAGCCTTGCCCCCCAGAAACTCCTTGTCACACACCCTTCTGTCACACAGTAAGCTCGGTAACAGCATGGGTGCTGTAGGATCCCAGGTCACGAACAATGAACATGTCCTAAGAAGCCTTGAAGGATTCCCAAAGGAAGGGATCTCCTCTGAGCCTTGAGGAAATGGGGCAGGTGTCCGTGAGCCACAGGAGATTGAAACAGCAGGTGTAGAGCGCCTGAGATGGAGGGTCGTTGCCTGGTAGGACAGGGGACATAGGCCTTGAGTGCCCTGCTAAAGAATCTGGTCACTTTCCCTACAATGACTAAAGGATTTCAGGCATGGGAATGATAGGAATCAGGCAAGATCTTTTTAGGAAGAGCACACTGGCTACAGCATGGGGAGAACAGCCCGAAGGGCCCAATGCTAGGGGCTAGAAAGCTGGTCGGGAGGTTGTTGCTCTTGACCGTGGGAGCAAGGACGGTAGCCTGGGCTCAGGCAGCAGCAGCAGGCATGGAGAGTAATGGGTGGAATCCAGGGACGTGGAGGTGGGGAATCCTCAGAACTTAGGAGTTAGCTGTAGGGAAGGGGGTAAGGGAGGAAGAAGAGTTGAGGGTGGCCCCCAAGTTTCCAGCTTTGGAAATTGGAAGGTCAGGGAATACCAGGGGCAGAGCTGATCTGGAGTCCAAACAGGTCTGCTCTAGATGTGTGAAATTTGAGGTGTCCACAGGGCTTTCTGTGATCATATCCAGGAGGGCAGCTGAATAGTGAAGTCTGGAGCTCAAGATGGAAGCCCGGATTGGGGACTAAGCCACGGGAGTGAGCTGGAAGGGGTGAGGGACAGAGCCCCAGGAGGGGTGAAGCAAGAGCCCAGGCAGGGGTATGAGAAGGGAGAGCCAAGGAGGTGAGTAGAAAACCTGAGGCTTGAAGAAGCATCGGGCAAGACAGGAATAGTCTGTAGAACCAGCTGCTGCAGAGACAGAAATAGGATGGAGAAGAGAAAGCAACAGGTCATAGATCAATGCCATCAGCTATTCTCATCTTGGCTTCCTCAGGTATAGTCAGAATTGTTGTGGGGGCACTTATGTGGCAAGGGGTGCCAAGTAAAGCTTTAAAACTATGAGAAAGAAACTGGTCCATAGCCAATACGGTGGAAGCAGAGCCAAGAAGGTTATGGAAAAACCAATGATCTGATGGAGTGGTTCTCAAACTTTCTGGTCTCAGGAACCCTTTGAATTCTTAAAGGTACCCCAATGAGTTTGTTTATGTAAATTAGATCTATGTATTCATGATATTCAAAATTAAAACTGAGGTTTAAAAATGCTTAACTCACTTAAAAATAATAGTAATATACTCCTTATATATTAATGTAAATATCACACTTTTTGTGTGTGAAAAATAACTATTTTCCAAAACAAAGAATCTTGAAAGGGTGACATTTTTGCTGATATCTTTAATGTCTGGCTTAATAGAAGACAGCTGGGTTCTCATCTGCTTCTGCAATCAACCTGTTGCAATTTCACTTGTCATGTAGCCTCTAGAAAGCACCACTGCACGATGATGAGAAAACGAGGGAGGGAAAAGGCAAATAATGTCTTAGCATTATAAAAACAGTTTTGACCATGCAAACTCTAAACGGTATCAGGGTCTCTGGACCACACTTTGATAGCTACTTATCTAATGAATATTCTAAACTATAATGGATTTCATAAAATAGAAGTTCCTACAGTAGCGAAAGTTAGGACACCTGGGTTCTATTTCTGTCTTTTAGTAAACTAGTCAGTTTTCTTGAGGAAACCACCGGGTCTCTGGTCTTTCCTTTTCTTCACTCTGCCCTCTAATTAGAGCTGAAATGAACATATGCTCAGGACCCGTGAACTGGCAAGTGGTAGAGTATACCCTAGACCAGGATGTTAACTTGAATATGCTACCGACTTGGTCACCTTTTTACCAGTGCTGAAATCAGCTCAACTTCCCCAGGCTGCCAAGGGTAATTATCAGTCATAGATACCATTTAACACAGGGTAGCAGCTAAGAGTTTGAACTTGAGTCTGATGCTTTTTGGTTCAAATCCTGACTCTGCTGTTTATTAATCCTATGATCTTGGGCTAGTCAGTTAACTTCTCTGTTACTTCATCTGCAAGATGAGGATAATACTCCACTAAGTCGTTGTGAGATTAAATGAGATAACCCATGTTAAGTGCTTGAAACAGCACCAAGTTCAAGGTCAGCATTACTTACGTGTTCGCTATTACTGATTTGAGGGCTTGCTGACCCTGTGCCAGGTCCACATGCCTGCCTAGGCACTTTGTCATTTGGCCCTGGGTCACTCTGACTCCCAAACCAGCGCTGAAATAAAAACTTAATTATACAAGTAATAAATTATGTTGTTTGAAAAATTCAAAGGTCTCTCCATACACTGCCCTGTTACCCTCCCTCTGACTCTCAACTCCTTTCGGAACTTCCTTCCTGGTTGATGGGCAGCTTTGGAAATAGGGGTGACCCTGGGGCTTTCCCTCCTGCTCCCGGCCCAGGTGGGCAAAGGCTCCTTCAAGTATGCCTGGGTGCTGGACAAGCTGAAGGCAGAACGGGAACGGGGCATCACCATTGACATCTCCCTGTGGAAGTTTGAGACGAAAAAATATTACATCACCATCATCGATGCCCCAGGTCACCGTGACTTCATCAAGAACATGATCACAGGGACCTCACAGGTACCACCAGAGTCGTCTTGGCTCTGCTTCGGGGGTGGGCAGTGGGTGTCCCAGGCCAAGTCTGAGTTGGGCCTTCTTCCGTCTGTCACCTGGGCCAGGCAGACTGCGCTGTGCTGATTGTGGCCAGTGGTGTAGGTGAGTTTGAGTCTGGCATCTCCAAGAATGGGCAGACCCGTGAGCATGTACTGCTGGCCTATACGCTGGGCGTGAAGCAGCTCATTGTGGCGGTCAATAAGATGGACATCACGGAGCCTCCTTACAGTAGCGCACGCTTTGAGGAGATCAGCAAGGAGGTGAAGGCCTATATCAAGAAGATCGGTTACAACCCTGAGGCTGTCGCCTTTGTGCCCATCTCAGGCTGGCATGGGGACAACATGATAGAACCCAGCACCAAGGTGAGAACTGACTGGGATGGGGCTAATTAAATGCAACATTCCCACTCAAATCTTTGAGCTTCTTCGAGAATATAATACCCAGGATTTACAGCATGCTTATGGGCCAATCACTGTGAATGATCCCCATTTTACAGATGAACAGAGGTTATTCAAGACTACACAACTAGTAAGCAAAGAGTTGCATTGTGCAATGTAGCATTTAGTTACATGTGGTTATTTATTATTTTTTAGATTTTATTTATTTATTTGAAAGAGTGAGAGAGAGAACACAAGCAGGGGAGGGGAGGGGAGGGGCAGAAGGAGAGGGAGAAGCAGACTCCCCACTGAGCAGGGAGCCCGATGAGGGGCTTGATCCCAGGACCCTGGAATCATGCCCTGAGCTGAAGGCAGACGCTTAACCAACTGAGCCACCCAGACGCCCTGCCTATTAACTTTAATAATTTAAGTCAAATGAAATAATTTCAGTTCCTTAGTTGTATTAGCTACGTTTCAAGTGTCCCACAACCGCATGTGGCTACCATATTGGACAGTGAAGTTACAGAATGTTTCCATCATTGCAGAAAGTTCTGTTGAGCAGTGCCGGCAGAGACTGTAATTCTAGTCCATGCTCACAGCATCTAAGCTACCTCTCTAGGCAGGTTAGGAAGTGTGGGGGCAATATAAATGGGTCTAAGATATAGTCACTGCGCTCATGGATCCCAGAATCTAGCAGAGTTTAAAATTCTTAAATGAGTGTCTCCCTACAAAGGATGTCTAGTTCTCTGGCATCAGACCTGGGGTCAAGCCCCCGCTTTCTCCCTTGCCCACAGTAAAGAGGTAAAAGAGGAATTAATACTCTGGGCATTAGGACTTACTTCATGGGACTGTGAGAATTAAATGAGAGACTCCACAGGGGCATTGCTTCATGCATACAGTTGGTGCTCAAATGCTAACTGCTATCCCTTACTACTTTATTGCCTGAAGCCTAACTTTTCCATAACTGACTTGAGGATTCTTAGCCTTTTCTTCCACGTGTACATAGCATAATCTTTTTCTGATTATAAAAGTAATTCCTAACATTTTTACAATGAGCCTTTCATGCAGATATGAAGCATAAACTTCATGGCTTATAGATAACCTAGTTTTCATGCAGTTCTTTCTAGATATTCACAGCTGGACTCAAACTGTACATAATTTTCTTTTTTTTAAATTTATTTATTTTTATTTTTTATTTTATTTTTTTAAAGATTTTATTTATTTGAGAGAGAGAGAATGAGAGATAGAGAGCACGAGAGGGAAGAGGGTCAGAGGGAGAAGCAGACTCCCTGCTGAGCAAGGAGCCCGATGTGGGACTCGATCCCGGCACTCCAGGACCATGACCTGAGCCGAAGGCAGTCGCTTAACCAACTGAGCCACCCAGGCGCCCCTGTACATAATTTTCTATAAAACTCTTTATTTTTAAAATTTCCTTTGCCATTTAAACATGTTGAATACTTAGTGGGTGTTTTATATCGTAGATCACAGAGGTACATTAGATTGTGTAGCCATATCCATTATTAAGTAAAAATGGTATTGAGAAATTACTATGTGCCAGACACCAGACTAAATACTTTACATGCACAGAACCTCATGAAGAAGACATTTTATTCCCATGTAAAATAAGAAAACTTGGACACAGTGTAGCTAATAGCCCAAGGTCACCAGCTTCTAAGAATACTGTTTCTAGTTTTATTAAAAATTGCCATAAGCATCTTGCTAAATAAATCCTTGCATTTGTCCTCATTAATTTAATTAGAATAAGCTCCTAGTGAAACAAAGGGTAGGCATTGTCTTGGAGTCTTCTGACACATATTGCCCAATTGTCCTTGGGAAAGATTAGAGCTACCACTGGGCAGTGTGTTCCTTTGGATGGTACTTCAGTATTTGCGTGCTGGGCACTGTCCTTGGTGCTGAGGGTGTGGTAGCAAATGATAGGCAACCCTGCTCCTAACACTATGGTCTCCTGGGGGTAGTGGTAATATAGTGGATGATGACAAGTGCTAAGAAAAACATAAGGCTGAGGGAGGCATGGTATGAGAGTGTTACTCTATATTGGGTGGTGAAGGGGGTCTCTTCTAAAATGACAGTAGAGGGCGCCTGGGTGGCTCAGTTGGTTAGACGACTGCCTTCAGCTCAGGTCATGATCCCGGAGTCCTGGGATCGAGTCCCGCATCGGGCTTCCTGCTCGGCGAGGAGCCTGCTTCTCCCTCTGACCCTCTCCCCTCTCATGTACTCTCTCTCTCTCATTCTTGCTCTCTCAAATAAATAAATCTTTAAAAAAAATAAAATGACAGTAGAACAGAAACCTGAAGCTTTGCCCATTTCCCCATTTCCCAAGTATTACCACAGAGTTCAGCTAGTGAAATAAGGGGATTTCATTCTCCTGTCCCTCTGGTTATTTATTAGGCATCTAAGATGTTCTAAAATATTTTATTCATTTGACAGAGAGAGAGAGAGCATGCACGCACACAAGTAGGCAGAGGGGCAGGCAGAAGGAGAGGGAGAAGCAGGTTCCCTGATGAGCAGGGAGCCCAATGTGGGGCTTGATCCCTGGACCCTGGGATCATGACCTAAGCCAAAGGCAGATGCTTAACAGACTGAGCCACCCAGGTGCCCCATATCTAGTATGTTCTAGATGCTAAAAGAACAAAGCATGCACTCAGTGGACTAGAGAGATTTAGGGTTTAGCCTTTGCTCTCAAGAAATACCTGTGACATCGGAGACCTCAGTTTCCCCATTTTCAAGATGGGGATGATACTGATCTCAAAGGCTTATTCAGGCCTCTGAGTTGGCACAGAGACAAATTAGTTGCTAAGTTCATCAAACTAATAGAAGAGCTTATCTTTACCAATGAGGCTGGTGTTTGAGTGGGAAGTTGGCCCACAGAAAGGAGCCAACTGGAATTCCAGTTAACTGATAAATCTCTGAAGGCAAAGATGATGTCTTTGATGAGCTTTGGCTAAGGTTTTTAGAGAAGTAAATATAGGATCTACTTAAAAGGCATGTATACAGGGGCGCCTGGGTGGCTCAGTCGTTAAGCGTCTGCCTTCGGCTCAGGTCATGATCCCAGGGTCCTGGGATCGAGCCCCGCATCGGGCGCCCTGCTCGGCGGGAAGCCTGCTTCTCCCTCTCCCTCTCCCTCTCCCCCTGCTTGTGTTCCCTTTCTTGCTGTCTCTCTCTCTCTCTCCCTCTGTCAAATAAATAAATAAAATCTTAAAAAAAAAAGGCAGGTATACAATGCACTGTCATCCTTAAGGTTATCCTTCTAGAAAGCCTTATGCTCAATAATGCTGCCCTTCCTTGCCTAAGATGTTGGGAAACATCTAGTCTTTAGGAAGGTATAAGTGTTAGAGTATTTGAGTCTTGTTTTCATTCTCATTCCTGATGCTTACTTAACTGTGCCGCATGTTTTCTCTGCTCCTCCTGTGTAATAAGCAGATGGAATAAGACCTAAGAGCTAATCAGATTCAAGGAGTCTCTGCCTCCTAAAAATATTGGCTCAAGTGAGGGGCAACACCTACAAGATTTAGAGAAATGGCCACCATTTAGTGGGTGTGTAGTACGTGTCAAACATTGTGCTTGGTGGACCGTGTGCGGTCTTTTGTGTCTTTACTTGAGCCTGCAAAGTAGGTGGTGATATCTGTTTTACAGATGAGGAAGCTGAGGCTCAGAATGCATTAAAAAATTGCTTGAGGTGCCATGTTAAATCCAGGTTGGCACCTGGGACAGGCTCCCTTGAGCCTAAGCAAGCTGCACATTTGGTGGCTTTTCCAGATGTCCTGGTTTAAAGGCTGGAAGATCACCAGGAAGGAAGGAAACATGGTGGGCATGACACTGCTAGAAGCACTGGACTCCATCATGCCCCCTGCCCGCCCTACGGACAAGCCCCTGCGGCTGCCTCTGCAGGATGTATACAAGATTGGGGGTGAGCATGTGCTATGTGGGGGTGGTTAGGGTCAGGGGCTCACTGAAGGCTGCCTGCTGACCACTCTGTTTGCTCTGTCCCCCCAGGCATCGGCACGGTGCCTGTGGGCCGGGTGGAAACAGGCTTCCTCAAGCCAAGCATGGTGGTGACCTTTGCCCCCTGCAACATCACCGCAGAGGTCAAGTCTGTAGAGATGCACCACGAAGCCCTGGCTGAGGCCCTGCCTGGAGACAATGTGGGCTTCAATGTGAAGAATGTGTCGGTGAAGGACATCAGGAGGGGCTACGTGGCAGGAGACAGCAAGAATGACCCGCCCTTAGAAGTGGCAAGCTTTGTCTCCCAGGTGAGGAGGCCCATTTAAGGGAAGTCTTCTGACACAGCCATACTGTCCTACAAGCAGAATGGTTCACTGGGTCATTCAGGAAGTGGGCACTGAGCATATGCTCTATGCTGGGCTCTTGACCAGCAGTGTAGGTAGAGTCAGACTGTCCGGGTTAGAATCCTGATTGTACCTTATTTGCTACTTTGCCCTTGAACAAAACAATGCAGTTCAATGGTCTTCTTAGTTTCCACAGTATGGTCTTAAAGCAGTTGTTTTCAAACCGGGTGGATTAGAATCACCTGGGAAGCATTTCAAAAATGCAGATTCCTGGGGTGCCTGGGTGGCTCAGATGGTTAAGCCTCTGCCTTCAGCTCAGGTCATGATCCCAGGGTCCTGGGATCGAGTCCCACACCCGGCTCCCTGCTCAGCAGAGAGCCTGCTTCTCCCTCTCCCTCTGCACCTCCCCCTGCTCATGCTCTCTCTCTCTCTCACTCTCTCTCTCTGTCTCAAATGAATAAATAAAAAAAAAATCTTAGAAAAAAATGCAGATTCCTAACATTTTTCCCAGTGGTTCTGCAGAATGATTCAGTAGACATGGGTGGAAGCTGGGAATATGTATGTTAGAGCTCTCAGGTGTTTCTTCGGCCCAGAGTTAGAATGTGGAGGCTGTTCTGAATGCAACGTCTGGCACATTCTTACTTCTGCAGGTGGAGGCTTGCACTACCTCGCAGTGAGCTTGGGAGCATTACACGAGGTGATGATATGTAAAACAGCTGACCTGGGGCCAACAGGTCATCTAACAAGTTAGTTAGCTGCTATTGTAATGCATTTTTCTAAGTGGCAGGGAAAAGTAGTACATAAATAACATGTATGTGTGTAGGTTTTAGTATCACTCATCCCTAGCTCTGCCACTTCCCTGCTATTACATCATGGGTAAATTATCCAGGCTCTCTGCTATGAAAATGAAATTGGAATGCATGAGATATGCTTAGCACAGAACTTGGTATACTCTATAAATGTTCAAATGCTCACTATAATTTAAAGTGTGTCCAAGGTGGGATGCCTGGGTGGCTCAGTCGGTTGAGCATCTGCCTTCAGCTCAGGTCATGATCCCAGGGTCCTGGGATTGAGTCCTGAGTCAGGCTCCCTGCTCAGCAAGGAGCCTGATTCTCCCTCTGCCTGCCACTTCCCCTGCTTATGCGCTCTCTCTCTCTCTCTGACAAATAAATAAGATATAAATAAATAAGTAAGTAAGTGTGTCCAAGGTGCTTGACCCCTTAGTTGGTTAGGGCTACCTCCTCTGGAATCCTCCAGGCCTCTAGGCTAATGCCTTCCCCCGCTCCCGTCCCACCCTGGGTTCCAGGTAATCATTCTCAACCACCCTGGCAGCATTGCCACTGGCTACTCACCAGTCCTGGACTGCCACACGGCCCACATTGCCTGCAAGTTTGCAGACCTCAGGGAGAAGATTGACCGGCGCTCAGGCAAGAAGCTGGAAGACAATCCCAAAGCCCTGAAGTCTGGGGACTCAGCCATCATTCAGATGATTCCACGAAAGCCCCTGTGTGTGGAAAGCTTCTCAGAGTACCCGCCCCTCGGTAAGTCCCGATAGCACTTGGCTCCTGGAGCTGCCCCTTCCTCCTCCTGCCTCCAGGGAGCCAGTGTTCCAACGGGTCACACCCAAACCAGATTGCAGAACCTGGTCAGAAGGACTGGAGTTCCAGGTTAGAAGGGCCCCACAAAAGGAAAGTAGCTTGCCTAGTGTCACACAGCAAGGCAGGGCCATTTTAGAGCCTTGTTACTCAAAGTGTGGTCCATGGACCAGCAGCATGGGCATCCCCTGGGAAGTGGTTAGAAGTGGAGAACCTCAGGCTCCATCCAGACCTGCTGAACTCAAATCTTCAGTTTAATAAGATCCACAGGTAATCGGGATGCACATCAATTTGCGAAACCCTGATTTAGAGGAGGTGAATAAACCAGAGATTAGCAGGGATTTTCTTTTTCCTTCTTATTCTTCAGTGCAGTGGTTTTCAAACCTGGTGGATAATCAGAACCACTGATGGACCCTATTAAACCCAGAGGCTCAGACCCTGATAGATTCACCTGATCAAGGCTGCAGCCTAGGAGTCTGTTTCTTAGATTTCCCCAAGTATATTCTGCGTGGCTAGGTTTGAACAATTAACCTAGAAGTTCTGACCCCAAATATATAGGGAGTAGGCATTTTTATATAGTGCTTGCTCTGTGCTAGATGATAGATATTTATAAACAAACAGGTTCTTGCCCTCAGTGCCTCCCAGTTAATGGGGAGGAGGGTGAATTTCAAAAGGCTAGTTTTATTTATTTTTTATTGTTATGTTAATCACCATACATTACATCTTTAGTTTTTGATGTAGTGTTCCATGATTCATTGTTTGTGTATAACACCCAGTGCTCCATTCCTCCATTCAGTACGTGCCCTCTTTAATACCCATCACCAGGCTAACCCATCCCCCCACCTTCAAAAGGCTAATTTTAGAGGTGGGCCACAGATGTTGCCACATGAATCTTGCAAAGCTGGTTTAGTTCTTTCTACCTCTGCCAAAAATACTGTGAGTTTGAAGCCAGATGCCAAAGCCTTGCCCTCCACAATTTGAAGTCAGAGGAGCATTCAAGAGCCCCCTGGAGAAGCAATTGCCGGATGCACAGTTGAATGTAAATGAGATCTATCCTACGGGTTGTGGTAATGGGCACAGAGAAGGTGCTAATTGCTTGGAGGCTGGGAGCATTAGTATGTATAGTAGGGTGGTGGGTGCACCAAAAACAAAGTTTTCCCTGTGACCTTTACTTATGGAAGTAGGACAGTCCAGTGGCTAAGAATATAAGTGCTGGTGTGAGACTTTCTGGGTTTTCCACCATCACAGCAAAGTGACCTTCTACTTCTTTGCCCCAGTTTCCCCAACTGTAAAATAGAGTGAGATCTACTTTGGGTTGTTGAGATAATTAAATGCACTCCTATGTATAATTCAGAATATCACTTATTTGACCTCCTGTGCCAGTGTCCTATAGCTTGTGCCCTGTGGTAGCATTCTCCACTTGTTTCTTCATGTCCTGTGTCCTAGGTCGCTTCGCTGTGCGTGACATGAGGCAGACGGTGGCTGTTGGGGTCATCAAGGCTGTGGAGAAAAAAACAGCGACTGGTGGCAAAGTCACCAAGTCGGCCATGAAAGCGGCCAGGAAGTGAGTGGTGACAGCTACTCTAGGACTTTCTGGGAGAGGCGCAGTCCAGGAGGAGCCACAGCTGGAAAAGAATGGCTCAAGGAGAAGTCTTAGACTTACTCTTCTCTTGCCTGAATGGTCTTAAATCCGCCCCTGCTAATGCACTTTTCTTTTTGCTGATGAGTCTGAGGCATGGGAATAAAGCACAGCAAGTCTTTTTGCCTCTGCCTCTACTGACCTTGATGTTGCAAGCAAGGAGGAAGCAGGTGGGGTGCTCAGTCTAATTCTACCCTTCACCTTCCTTCTGGTGCCTGACTGGTGCAAGAACCAGAGAGCTAGGGTCACAGGGAGGAAAATGTGTAAAGGGGAAAGTGTAGGGCAGCTTTTGGCCCAGGCCAAGTTCATCAGTTCCTAGAACAGGACTCTGGTGTTTTAAAATGCCTGACTTAAATAGTGTCTATAAAAGTTACTGAATCTTCTGTGTGCCTTGGTCATCTGTAAAATGGGAAGATAATAGTATCTGCCTCCACTGGGATGTTGAAGTTTGAGTGAGCTGGTACCTGCTGGGCATGGCAATCAGCTACTCTCATTCACATGGTGGGGGCACTGGAGGCAAGTGAGCCCTATTAAGGGGACGTTCTGTTGGAAAAAACTTGAGGAGAAGGGGATGAGCCTGAGGTTTGTAGGATAAGCTGTTTTATATTTCCTAGGTACATGTTTCCCTCAGGTTACTTTTTAAACTTCAGTTTGACAATTTGAGTCACAAAGTTGCAAGAGGCAATTTCACCCAGATTCCCCAAATCTTATTTACCATTTTTTACCTGAATTATTTGAGAGTAAGCTGCAGACATGGTGGCCCTTTACAATGAATAGTGTAAGTCCAAGAATATTCTCTGATAAAATCAAGGTCAAGTAATCAGAATGAGGACATTAAATTAACATGGGTACACTTCTGAAATCTGCAGACCTGATTCAGATTTTGCCAATTATTCCAAAAACATGCTTTATAGCAAAAGAAAATCCAGGATCATGTGTTGCATTCAGCAGTCTTGTCTCTTTATTGCAAGTTTTGGAGCAGCCCCTCCCTTGGCTCTGTTCCTCCCAGAGGTTTGGTTGAGACATCTGCTCTGGGCTAGCTAGTGGCTGCCTGATGGAGGAAGCTCAGAGGTGCGGGTTGGGAGGAAGGGGTGTCTCTTTGCTCTCCTCCATCAGCCCAGCTTTCCAGAAGTCCCTTGCATCCCTACTAGATGAAACCAGGAAAGCCCTGGGGCTTTTAACTCCCCTGTAGCAGCAGGAGAAGGGAATTACGGCTTGTCTCCTTTTCCACCCAAGCCCTCTGCCCATTTATTCCTGTTAAAGAAACGGCAGATTCAAGACCAAGTTCTGCCTGGGATGTGGATCCTGGCAGCCCCTCGGGTCCTGCTGCTGAGGATTAGTGTAAACCAGGAAGCCCTCTTCTTGTTTGCGATTGGAGCCTGTCAGAGACTAATCTGCAAGCCTTTTTGTGCATGCAGGATGACTCTGTTGATATACACCATGTCTAACACTTTTTTTTTTGCGGGGGGGGTAAAGGGTTGCTTGGATACAGTGGGTTTATATTAAGAATAACCCCTTATTGCGAGCTCAACTGTGTGCTCTACACAATTACCTCGTTTAATTTTCACAACGATCTCCTATGATATCGGTACCCATTTTAAAGCTGAGGAAAACTGAGGCTGAAAGAGGTCTAATTAGTAACCCGCTGTGGGTCGCGTGTCTATCAGCTAGCCAAGACAGGAGCATACTGTCTCCACAGCTCAGGACTGTTAAGTCATCACTGTTCTAACTGTATAAATTCCATTTGTTTACATTGTCACCAAGTAAATTATATACACTACAGTTTGCATAACTGATTTCACGTAGTCCTGGAAGCCACCAGGTCCGGAGACTGTGGGAGGGAAGAGCGCCCACAGAGACCGGAAGTTCAAGGAAAAGCCGGTTCAGGGAGCTTTAAAAGCCAATTTCGGAACCCCGGGGTCCCGGTGGCGGGAGAGCGCGGCTCGCACTGGTGGGCGGTGCCCACCAGGCCGAGCCCCGCGCTACGCCGCGCCGCCCCCGCCCCTTTTCCTCTGCCGCAGCTCTCTGGGTATCCTGCGGAAAGAGCCCGCCTCCCGACCCATAAGGCCCTGGGCCGGAAGCTTCACTTTCTCTTCCTGTTCTCCACCATGGCGGTGAGTAGCGGAGGCTCGGGTTTGCTTCCCTTCATCCGCCTTCATCCACCTTCATCCACGGCGGGCCGAGGCCGCGGGAGCTGTCTCGTCCGCGGCCCGAGAAGAGGGGAGCCCTCAAGGCTGGCTCTGCCGAAACTGGCAGAGCCATGCGGGCCGAGAGCGCAGAGCTGAACCTTGTCGCCTCCCCTCCCGCCCTCTTAGGAGATGGCTCGGGGCAGCCACTGGGAGGGCTCAAAATCGCGGCCTGTAGGCTGCAGGGAGGGCGAGTGGAGCGAACGGAGGGGCTGGCACACGGTGTCCGGATCTGTTACCCGTCCCGGGGACTTGAGACTTGCCGGGGGCTAGGGAGCTTCAGCCTGTTCCTCCGCTTGGGGGAAGGCGCTAGCCTTCTGTCGCGGCCACCCGGCTCCTTCGGAATGGAATGGGGGACGTCGCACAACCACGTGATTACCGTTTCCCCAGCAGTTTAAATTGTTTTCTCCCCAGTCGGCTTTATAGTGCGGACGCGCTCCGACACCTTATACGCCGAGCCCGTTGGGGTTCGTCCTCTGCCTGTAATTTTAACTCCCGATACCTGTTCTCAGTTTCTGATCGCCCAATCGGTGCGTGCATGGAGGAAACCAGATCCCGAGCTGTCTTCTGCCTTGGTGCCTCCCACACAAACGCCGTGATACTTTTTAAACCCTTTAGGGCTTTCGTTAGGAGCCAGGATGAGCAGAAATAGGTATGCTGTGTATACAAACGCTGGACTCGGGGCTGTGGCGGGGTTGTGTGTTGACTGCTGCGCTTACCTTGTTGCAGCAGGATCAAGGGGAGAAGGAGAACCCTATGCGGGAACTTCGCATCCGCAAGCTTTGCCTCAACATCTGTGTGGGGGAGAGTGGAGACAGACTGACCCGGGCGGCCAAGGTGCTGGAGCAGCTCACAGGCCAGACGCCCGTGTTCTCCAAAGGTGAGTGGTGGTAGTCGCGGGAGAGGACCGGCGGCTGCGTATGCCTGCATTTTTCCTAATTTGCCTGGCGCCTAGCCTGTTCAGTGCCCGTTTTGAAAGTGACAGTTGATGTCCCTTAAAAGCATTACTCCCTGAGCTACCCAAGAAGTATCTTCCTTTCAAGATTGGGTTTGGTATTGGAATACCGGGTTTTTTTTTTTTTTTTTTTTTTTAAAGTTAGCAGAAATTAAGCTAGGACTAGTCCCAAGTAGAGATTTTCCGAGGAAAGTTCGAAATGTTGGGAATGCAGTAAATGGTATTTGGCTTGATTCACATTTGGAATTTATAGGCTACGTTAAGAACAGAGCTGTGTGCCTAGACCACCTGAGTTGAAGGATCTAAATCCTGGCTCCATTGTTTGCTAGTCTGACCTGGGCCGTTCTGGGTCTCAGCTTCGTTCGTTATTTACCTAAAGAGGATGATAATAAGATTGTGAAGGATCAAATGGGTTCTATGAAGTGCCTGCTATATACCAAGCTCAGCGTAGACGTTACCATTGTTTTGTTGCTTTTTGTTTGTTTTTGAAGTTCCATTGCTTTAGGATAGTGGAATATGGCAAGTTCTTGGGTTCAGATCCTGCCTTTTATTACCAACTGTGATTTGGGACAAGTTAACTTCCCAGAACTTCATCTGTAATAGGATAACATTACAATAACGCTTTAGAGAATCTTAGCTATTTTCAATAATGTTTTCTTTAGAACACAGTGATCCTATTTCTTTCTAGTGGCCTGTTCCGGCTGTGAACTTGGCCCGTCCTTAGACATTATGACTTCGAGCACTTTTTTTTTTTTTTTTTTAAGATTTTATTTATTTATTTGACAGCACAAGCAGGGGGAATGCAGGGAGAGGGAGAAGCAGTCCCCCTGCTGAGCAGGGAGCCTGATGCAGGGCTCCAGGGCTCAATCCCAGGACCCTGAGATCATGACCTGAGCCAAAGGCGGACGCTTAACCGACTAAGCCACCCAAGCGTCCCACTTCAAGCTCTTAATTGCTTAAGTATGACTGAGGACTTGGAAGTTGAAAAATATGTTTTTTGTGTTATGGATGAAACCAGATGTAGGTGACACTGGTTAGAACGCCACCGCTTGGGATGTGGGTAGATATTTAATGTCTCTTAAGAGTTACGGAGATGATCTGGGTAAGAGGTGAGTGCAGTGGGAGTGTGATGCCTGACTCCTTGTTTCCCCCTGCCTGCAGCTAGATACACGGTTAGATCCTTTGGCATCAGGAGAAATGAAAAGATTGCTGTCCACTGCACAGTCCGTGGGGCCAAGGCAGAAGAAATCCTGGAAAAAGGTCTAAAGGTGAGGCTGATCCCCTCATGGAATATTAATAAAGAATGCCAACTTAACACAAGTAGATAATAACAGTGGTGGTGGTTACACCTCATGTACTATCTTTGGTGCCTTGGCTTTTTAATTTTTATTTTATTAATATTTTTTAACCTCTAAAGGGCGTTTCCTGCACTCAGCAAGGTTTAAACCATTCTTAATGATTTCTCTGGGTTCTTCCATGTCTTTTAAATGTTGGGAAAATTCTGTGAAATTCATCGTTGGGATGTGATTTGGTGTTGTGGGGAAATGATGAGATTTTGTTCAGGATCAAATTATATTGAATTGCATCTCTGGGGTGCTGAGTGTTGAGGACTAAGCTAGGGATTTGCGGGGGGATTTGAGTTGACAAGGAGTGTGATTTTGCTCCATTTTTCTCTTTAGGTGCGAGAGTATGAGTTAAGAAAAAATAACTTCTCTGATACTGGAAACTTTGGCTTTGGGATCCAGGAGCACATTGATCTGGGGATCAAATATGACCCTAGCATTGGTATCTACGGCCTGGACTTCTATGTGGTATGAATATTCAATCTTTTCTACTCTTGGTATGTGAGGAGAGTGGAATCTGCTACTCCTTTATTTTGTGTGTGCTATCTTGATGTTCAGGTGTTGGATTAAAGCTTTGTTGTCTGCCTTTGTGTTTTGCCCCTTGGGAAGATGTGCCTCGTTTGTGGCGGGGGTCAGGATACAGCACTGAACTAGATGGACAAGATCCTGCTATTGTGAACCTTATAGTCTAGGATCTAGCAAGCACCAATATGGCTTAGAGGTGGAAAAAGGAACTCTTCCACCCACTGAATTGAAAGTTTGAGAGTTACGGTGCTGTATTTGGTGTGTGGGTTGGCCAGGCTGAGGCCGCTCTTTTCCCAGCTCCTTCCCTTATCCCTTAGACCTTGGGGATAGCGTGGCTTCCATCCAAAGGACATAGATGTGAGTTTGGTGATGTGACTGTTTGCTCAGTCAGGGTAGTAGGGATTTCAGTGTAGAAATGACCATTTGTGTTACTGCAATGTGTTTGTCCAACCATAAAACCACGTAGCAAAAACTGGAAGTCCTGACTAGTGTGGGACCTGAGTCATGGCAGCACCCTCATTAGATTTGAGTATCCAAACACTAAGGAGAATTAGGTGCTCACAGGGAATTTGGGAACAGCAAGCCTTTAAGAAGCACTTTTGAACTGAAGCAGAAGAGAAGAATGACTATTTCTTTGTGCTTCTCAGAATCTTAAGTTTAATATAATGCACACATTATAGTAAGATTTTTTTAACGTTACTTTAAAAATGCACTTTGGAGACTGGGGAGCAGTGAGGGAGAATCCTCAGCTACCATTGGAAGTTGGGCAGGGAAGGGGGGAGGTACTGTAAGTTCCAGCCTCCAGAGCAGACCTATAGTGTGGTCTGTTGTCCAGGATGCTGCTAACTGGTTTATCAGACCCTGAGATCATGGGTCTCTTGCTCTGGAAATCAGTGGGCCACCACATGACTCTTGAAGATCAATCTCCAATGTGTGAGTCTTGTCCGTCTACTCTTGACTTTGAGCTGGCTAGGTGACTGTTGGTTATTCCTGGGACAGGTGCTGGGTAGGCCAGGTTTCAGCATCGCAGACAAGAAACGCAGGACAGGCTGCATTGGGGCCAAACACAGAATCAGCAAAGAGGAGGCCATGCGCTGGTTCCAGCAGAAGGTAAAGCTGATTTATCTCAGGTGACCTGGTGGAATGTGGTGTTGGTGAACGGAGTTGGGATTTGGGGGTAGTTTCTTTAAAGATAGAATATTTGGGCACCTTGGCAAATGTGGGTTTCCAGGGTTGGTGGTTTGAACACCCAGAGTCAGGCTTTCTCCCCACCCCCATACATGCAGGTAGAGGAAGGGGAGGATTATGGCTTTAATAGGAGCCCCCTTTTCTCAGGGTTTAGTGCAATTCAGCACAGTGTAGCAGTTAAAACTGGCCAGTTTCCTGTTTAGTCCAGAGGGGATGTGGGGTTCAGAGCTGAATTCACGCATCAGATGTGAATTCTCAAACGTTAGCCGTTGCTGCCGTCTTTGCTATTGCCTCCTGTTGTGAAAAAATAAAATCTCTTCTCTTTCAGTATGATGGGATCATCCTTCCTGGCAAATAAATTCCCGTTTCTATCCAAAAGGCCAATAAAAACTTTTCAGTGAAATGTATATTACTGTTGTGTGTTCTGTGAAAGGAGCCTGGCCATATTCAAGTCCCTGGACCTCAAGCCACTTAAAGCTTCGATGGGAATAGCTGGTAACGACCTTGTCGTCCTCTGGATGCCAGTGTTTCCTGACAGATTGAAGCCTGAGCTTTGCAGCATTTCCTGTGCTCCCCACACCCCTGTGGTTAGGCTGTGATGGTGCAGTAGTCACATGGAAGTTAATTTTAGAGGGGAGGGTATGATTGGGCCTGGGGTTTGAATACAGAGCTTTGGTTAAAGGTGAAGATGGGGTGCAGTGTTCCCATGTTCCAGGAGGCTCTGCTCTATTCACTAATTCTAGAGATTATACCAGCACTCATGTCTGAGGAAGGGAGTCACAGGCTTTGGTGTGTCATGTTTGCGATTAAATTTTGGTTTAACTGTTCAGACTCTGTTTTCCTTTAAAATGAGAATGTATAGCGTTGTTGAGGCAATATAAGCCTAGAAGAGAATGGTCTTTGAGGCAAATCGCCTGGATTTGATTCCCTGTCCTGCTTTTTATCTGCTATGTTACCTTAAGTAAGTTAATCTGCCTCAGTTTCTTTTCTGTATCGTGGAGGCAAGTGATAGCCCTCAGAAAGTTAATACTTACAGAATATTTAGACTTGTACCAGGCACATAGTGCTCAAAAGGGGTTAATTTTGTATTTTGGTACGTAAGAAATGTTACCCTCTTCCTTTGGTGTGAAAGTAGAACTTTCTTGCCTATTCCTTGTCACTGAACCACTGATATTCAAAAGCCACCGTTTCTCTGGCCATTAGACACAGTAGTTGGCCGATGGTTAATAGTTTTCAGTATAGAGTTTATATTTGAGCACATGTTAATTCAGTTCAATAATTTACCCACTTGTGACTAATGAGTTCAGTTTTTCTTGGGCCACCTTTTCACTGCCATTAAATGGTTCTCTAATTTGTTAGCTGCCTTTGTAGTTATTTTAAAACCCAGAAATCTCTTTGGTGTGCCTTCATTATTATGGAAATATGACATTTTTGTCTTCCTGATAATAAAGTCTTACCTAGTGAGATCAGATACAGTTGGTTAAAGGGGAGAATCCTGGAATGTATTACCATGTACTTTTTGTTTCACTTAAAATATTAGCATGCATTCACTTTCCAGTCTGTAGGGCCAGGACTATCACGTTATAAACAGGAAAACTTGTGAAGGAGTGATTCTTGTTCAGCTTCATTTGGGGTGGGGGGGGTTGACTTCTCTTAACTTCTATAATTACAGTAACAACTACAACTGGAATAGACACATGAGAACAAATTGTTGGTGAAAATAATTTGTGTTGGGTGCTAGCTGCTGTGGGAAGTCAGTATATTGTAGAGAGGAGACAGCATGCTCATTTTGTTTAAAGCATTTCAGAAATACGAAGTGTAGAAAGTGAAGGGCCCTCAAATACAATCACTGGCCTTGTGTACTTTACTGTTAGCCATTTGCTGTTACCTGTATGTTTTTATGTTTGTGTTCCTATTTTAACAATATAAACCTGCCTACCTTTCATTTGGTTCTGCCATGTCGTGTATTCAGTTGGGTTGACTCCCCATTTTTAAAAGTAAACTGCCTGAGCTGTTGGCGTGGTAGGAAAAGGACTCTTGGGAGTTTGGTGATCTGACTGGATTTTAGTCCTACCTCTCAGATAGTCTGGGTGAGTTCTGAAACATGTTGGGGCCTAGAGCAAATGGGGAGACTTCCCTAACCAGATTAGTGGTCAGGGCCAGGAAAGCTTGCGTCCTGCCCTGGTTAGAAGCATGGGTTCCGAACATGTCAACGCTGGTGTCTCAAGTACATTTGTTTTGAGTTAACATCCATTCACTTGCTACAAAGTGGATATAGTTACCTGGGGGTTTGTTAATACTCTTGGGCCTCAACCTCAGATCTACTGACTTAGAATCTGCCTTTTAACGAGATCCATAGGTGGTTTGTGTATACACACTAAAGCCTAGAAACTACCCACATAGTAATGCCAAAACGGGGTGGGGAAGACCCAATACCTAAGGAGATTTCTTTAATAAATTTAGCTTGTGAAGTTCTTGCTGTGTGGTGGTTTTTCTCATCACTTCAGCTGCTATCCATGAAAACTTAGATCAATGTTAGGTCACCCCTGCCCCCATGTCACACTGGTTGTCTTCAGAATAAGGTAGTGTTCCAGCAGGCATCTGTCTATATTCCAATACCAGGCCCAGAAATACTAGATGCTACTTTGCTGAGTGAATGTTCTAGTTCCAGAGCTATCATCTACAACAGAGTTCTCAGTCTGGGGCAATAAGCTATCCCCAACCTGGGGTATTTGAAAATTTGTGTGGATGGCCCTTCAATTACCACTGTAACTAGGGCTGCTATTTGTATTAGTGCCTATAGGTCAGGAGTGTCAAACATTCTACAATTCAGGATGACAGAAGTAGTGAGTTGCTATGTAGATGGGTACAGGATGGTCACTTATACGTGAGCTTGAGCAGGTAACGTGATGGGGCCAGCCAGCTGTGCAGAGGCTTTGGAGGTACCAGTCTGATTGAGAAGCAGTAAGGAGACTATAACTAGAGAGCAAGGGTGGAAGTCCGGAGTGGATCAGATCAGGCTAGTGAGAGCCACATCAACCCACCATTTGAGGCCACAACCTACCATTTCTGTTGCTGCAGTTAGGATTTTTAAAGGAAATTGGGGCAGAAATATGGAAACCACTTAGGTTGTACCAGAGTGCTTGGCATTTTCATCCATGTAGGATTGGCAAAGGCGAGAGATCAGAATCCAGGTAAGAGTAGTCCAGGGTTCTTTTTAAAGATGGGATCGAATTTCTTCAGAATAGTGTGTGTACATGGATATGTTTCTATTTTGAGCCGGTCGGTAGGAAATACCAATCCACAGGACTGTGTTTAAGCCAAATAACTTAGAAATACATGATGATCCCAGGACTAAGGACAGTAGGTGCTCTTCCTCTATTGGAAACACTAGCAAACAGGGCTAACGTTCCCTTCTAGGCTTTTTTTTTTTAATAATTGAGAAACAATGTAATTTTAGTTGGTGCTTTTATGCATATTTTCATGTCATTATGGTGGCTTTATAATATGCCATCTTTTAGATGTATAGGTTATATTGCCTTATCTATATAGCCGGCACTAAATATCAGGAGTGTTAGTTCGGTAGGACTGCCCCATGCCCCCTACAGGCTCTCTTGTTTTGGCCTTCTGTGTAGTGTCTGTGAGGTCCTTGCATAGTATCTTCAAGTTATCTGATGGTGTGGTGTAGTTGAAAGAACACTAAGCTGGAGAGACGTCATCTGTGGTGTTTTCTGCTCTGCTGCTCCTGTTAGCATCGTGACCCAAAGACAAGTAACAAGGCAAATTGCAAGCCCTCTGGCCCTCTAGAGCGGACTGACCTGCTAGATTTTGTCTATGACTTTTTATCTTCTGATTTCGTGCTTTTGCCTTTTTGTGCAATTTAACCACCTGCTAGTCCCAATCTGTTAAACTCCACACGTAGGTTGAGGTGCTCCAGCCAACTGGTGGGTAAAGACCTCAGTGAGTAGACTGCCAGTGGCTGAGTCCTAAAGGGTTAAGGCCCAGGCTTTCTAGGTGAGTGGCGAGGTCAGGGCCCAGGAACCACCCATAAATAGTTTAAGCTACCAGTCACCAGGGACTTAACTGGTGCCTGGGGGTACAGAACCACTTGCAGAGCAGCTTGTTATGGAAACCACAGTGTGGTTGTCGGGGGAATCCATTGTAAGGCACCCTGGGGGGCACCACCTGGAGGGCACCACCAGGAGGACAGAACTTCACCCTGCTGGAGGTGCAGGAAGGCTTAGGAAACAGATGCAGAGGTTTGTTTTCACAAATCTGAGTAACAATGGTGAATTGTGATTGTATCAGTTGAGGACATTATATAACTTGATTTTAAGGTGTTATGTAATTATATTTATCACTATTGATTTAATTTGCTTTTAGACAAATATGTCCACAGTTACCTGGTGTCTGAAAGTAGCTTGGAAGCCAAAGGCATTCAACAACTTCTAGCAGAAATGCTGTTGTTCTGGACTCCCCTCAGTTACCCTGCTGAATGTACTTCTTCAATAGCAAGACTTTTAACCCTTTTAATACTATGGTGACTGCCTCTGAAAATGTTTTCCTACGGTGCATTTCAGTTTTTTGCTTTTAAAGATTTTTTCTTAATTTGTTCTTAAACATGGTGTATCATGGTGTATATGAGCACAGAATTTGATTTTAAGCATCTCAACTTTTTTTTTTTTTTAAGGTTTTTATTTATTAGAGGGAGCAAGCACAAGTGGATGGAGGGGCAGGGGGAGAAGCAGACTCCCCCTTGGGATCATGACCTGAGCCGAAGGCAGACGCTTAACTGACTGAGCCACCCAGGTGCCTCTAAGCATCTCAGGTATCATGCAGGTCTCTGACGGATAGCATAGGCTTCTTTCCCATGAAGAGCCCCACTAGCTGCCAACCGGCCCCTCTTCCAACTCTACTAATAGCAGATAGCTACACAATGGTTGTTGCACCCATTTTGGTCATCCAGGCAAACTCCAGGGGAGGAGTATGCTTTCTTGGATGTCAGGATTCTTTTCTGACAGGCACCTATGAATTCATTTCGTTTTCATGGCTCTGTGAGATGCTACAATGATTAGGACCCAGAGAAAGGCACAAGAGGAGGAAATGAATTGTCTAGTCACAGCAGTGATGATGGAGCCATTCTTCAAAGGCAGATTCCAGCCTCTCCAGACCTATCTTTTTGTACAGGTTTATAGCTCTTAAGTAATAAGGCTAAACCACACATCTTCCCCTTGAAATACGCATCCGTCAGTTTTTCCCTGAAATTCAGTTGACCAACCTACAAAATGCTTTTTACCATTGTAGCTTATATACCCAGGTCTCCAAAGAGGGTCAGCAATCAGAATTGGAGTTGGTCTTTACTTCTTAGCAGTTGACTCTAAGGGGCCAAACACCCAAGTAGCCACTG